TTTTCTGGGGAAATTCTGCTCTACACCTGTTCTCCCCTTATAATTATCAATAGGCCTCTGTGTCCCAGGTTGGGTAACTCATATGATTGCTCTATCCTGAAATCTGGAATAGAATCAGACACAACTCCGTTGCTTCTTTTCAACTCTAACGCTGAGGCTCTCTGTATGCCTTCTGCTGGGTTGTGGCTTCTTCGTCCTCACGAGTGAAGTCTTTGAGGGGCTGCCTCACTCCCTTTGGGTCTAGTGACGTCTCTTTCTAAACTAGCTTTGGCATCAACATTACTGTATTATATGTTTCTCTCCACTTCTCAAAGCAGATTCCTAAAGACTTTTTTATTCTTTACTAACATAGAATATGCTTCTTGTATCTCCATATGCATGGGTAGCTTTAGGAAAGACCAACTTATATATGGAATTAATTCAGTGAAGCCATTTGATATATTAAAACTTCAGTTCTTTGGGAGATAGGACTATAAGCAAATGTAAAGAAACAAATGATATATTTTCTGGGGAAAATGAGAACGCTTCAATAATTCATTCTTAATATTTGTACAGATGCTTCTTAGAGAACGTTGTATAATTACAGAAATAGACATATTAGTTCTGTTGAATTTGAATTCCTTTTTTTCAGCTTTTATATATAATAAAAATTGGATTCTCCTCTTTTTTCAGATTGTATGTAATAAAAATTTGGTTTTCCCTATTGAATTATCTGCCTTTTCTCTCTCACTTTTTATAGCTTTTATGTGTTTTTAATTGAAAAATCAACTTTTGGAGTTTTTTTCTGTTACTTTTGAATTAAATCATTCTGACAACCCTGTCTATTAAATTTCATTCTTATTTCAGGCTTCAAAAGCTGCACTTATTCTCAAGATAAATGATTAAGAAAAATGTCTAAGACTTCTAGTAACTGTAGTAAAATTGAACAGTGATTATTTCATAATCAATGTATAATGGAGGAATTAATAATAGTAGTAACACAAGAAACAAAAGATGTACTTTAAAAATGTTTATAGTTTATGTTGTAAACACCACACATATACTTGAAACCCTGAAGACTACCTTCAGATACAAAGGAGTGAAAGGTTGGAGGGTTTAAACCATAAAAATCAGCCCTTAAGCAATTCAAGATAAGAAGACTGTTCCCTAGAGAGGATGTCACAGAGCAGGGGATTTTTAAAACTTTTTACTGGGAATTGGATAAAGGTTTACAGGAGAATCCATTTTCCATTCAACAACTCACAAGCATTGTGTTTCATGCCATTGAGTGCAAATCCCCGCAGTACAGCATCACTTCTCCAAATCTTCCCTGGGTCCCCCATTTCCATTCCTCCTCCACTTCCACCCCTTCCTACCCTTTGAACTTCATCCTGGGACCAATGCTATCCTTTTGATCTGGAATAACTGATTGTCCTCAGGAGGGCCATCTCCCTATTATTGTTGTAAAACTGTCTAGTGCAGTGGCTGGCGACCTGTGGGTTGCAACCACTTTAGGGGTCAAATGACCCTTTCACAGGTGTTGCCCGATTCATAACAGTAGCAAAATGACAGCGATGAAGTAGCAACGAAAATAATTTTATGGTTGGGGGTCACCACCACATGAGGAAATGTATTAAAGGGTCACAGCATTAGGAAGATTGAGAATCACTGGTCTATTGGCTAAAAATGGAGCCATGGGATGAGTTCATTTCAGGCCTGAAGGGTGACTTAGGGCCATAGGTTAAGGGTTCCCCTAGTCTACCTCTGAGCAGTAAGCCTGGTCCATTTTATAATTTGAATTTTGTTCCATATTTTTTCTCCCATTCTACCCAGGACTTTCCGATGTGATCTGTTTCTGAGCTATCGGCAATGGAAGTTTGGTACCATCTAGTTTTTCTGATCTCACACTCATGGAAGCTGAGGGTGACATGGTCCATTCGTTCATTGAACTGATTATAGCACATGTACTTGATTTTCTTCACTTTTCTTTCTTCAGAAAGGGAGAGAACAGCAGGTGTAGCTAGGACTTACGACTTCAGCTCCCATTCGCCAAAGCAGCATGTTGAACACTGTCTTTGTGGGCTGTGGTATATGCCAGTGGATCTTGGTGTCACCAGAGGCTGTGACCTTAAGCTAAGCCCAGTGACTCGGCTGATCAAAATGTATGGTTATGACTAAAAAGATTTCATTACTTTGTCTGTCTCCTGTATGCTTCATTATATCTACAGATCTATTGGTAGCATGCTATTGTTGTTGTTAGGGACTGTCAACTGGTTGAAACTCACCATGACCCTGTGTACAACGGAATGAGACACTGCCTGGCCAGTACTAGCCTCACAATGATTGTGCCAGACCCATGGTTGCAGCCACGGTGTCAACTCATCTCATCAAAGTCTTCCTCTTTTTCACTGACCCTCAACTCTACCAAGCACGATGTCCTTCCCCAGAGACCGGGCTCTCCTGGAAACCCACCCAAAATACGTGGGATGAAGTCTCGCCACCCTCGCTTTGGAGGAGTACTTTGACTGTACTTCATCCAAGACAAATCTGTCTGTCCTTTTGGCAGTCCATCTTACTTTCAATATTCTTTGCCAGCACCTCAGTTCAAATGTATCAATTTTTCTCCGATCTTCCTTTTTCAATGTCCCACTTTCACATGCATAGGAGGCAATAGAATATACCATGGCTTGGGGCAGGCCTACCTCAGTCCTCAAAGTAACTTTCCTGCTTTTCAGCACTCTAAAGAGGTCTTGATGGTGCAGGACGGGGAGTGTTTCATTCTGTTGTGCACAGGGTCCCCATGGGGCAGAACCGACCTGATGGCCTGACAATGAAGAGGTCTTGGGCAGCAGATGTACCTAACACAGGTTATCTTTTAATCTCTTGATTGCTGTTTCCATGAGCATTGATTTTGGATGCAAACAAGACAAAATCCTTGACAACTTCTATCTTTCCTCTATTTACCATGATGTTATCCATTGGTCCAGTTGTGAGGGTTTTGATCTTCTTTACATTGAGTTGTAATCCACACTGAAGGCTGCCAGCCCTGATTTTCATCAGCAAGTGCTTCAGGTCCTCCTCATTTTTAGCAAACAAGGTTGTGTCATCTGCATATCACAGCTTATTAATGAGCCCTCCTCCAATACAATCTCACAGTCTTCCTTATATAATGCAGCTTCTCTGATGATTTGCTCCACATGCAGATTGAATAACTGTGGTAAGAGGATACAACCTTGACACATACCTTTCCTGACTTTAAATTATGCAATATTCCCTTGTTCTGTTTACACAACTGCCTCTTGATTCAATTAGAAGTTCTGCGTGAGCACATATAGTGTTCTAGGATTCCCATTCTTCTCAAGGCTATCCATAGTTTGTTCGGGTCCACACAGTTGAATTCCTTAACATAGTCAATAAAACACAAGTAAACAACTTTCTGGATTCTCTGCTTTCAGCCAAAATGTATCTGGCATCAACAATGATATCCCTTGTTTCATATCTTCTTCTGACTCTGGCCTGAACCTCTAGTAGCACCCTGTCAATGTACTGCTGCAAACGTTGTTGGACAGCCTTCAACAACATTTTACCTGCATATGATATCAATGATATTGTTCTATAATTTGAGTCTTCTGTTGGGTCACATTTCTTTGGAACACATACAAAGTAGGAATTATACCACAATATAAAGAAAGCAAAAAATCTTCACAATTGGACCAATAAGCAGCATCATGATAAACAGAGAAAATATTGAAGTTGTCAAAGATTTCATTTTACTTGAGTCGACTATCAATGCTTATGAAAACAGCAGCCAAGAAATCAAATAAAGAGGACGTGGGACAAAAAATTAAAATAAAATGTTCAAGACAAAAAATAACACTTTGAGGACTTACCTACACCTGACCCAAGCCATGATATTTTTAAAACTTCATATTCATGCCCAGAAGAATTGATGCATTTGAATTATGATATTAGCAAAGAATATTGAATAAATCATCAAATGCTAGAAGGGTGAACAAATTTTCTTTGAAAGAAGTACAGATAGCAAGCTCCTTAGAAGTCAGGATGGAATAATATGCGTCATGTACTTTGTACATGTTATCAAGAGACAAGTTCCTGAGAAAGACAGCATGCTTAGTAAAGTGGAGGATCAGCTAAAAATAGTAAGTTCTTCATTAGATGATTGACCCAGTGGCTGCAACAATGCACTGAAATATTGCAACAATTGTGAGGTGACTGTGTTAGGCTGAGTTCTCTAGAGAAGTAAAATCAATGAAATATATGTACAGGAAGAAAGGAAAAAGAAAAGGAAGGAAGGAAAAAAAGAATAATATTTCAAAGAAGTGGCTCACACAGTTGTAGAAACAGGTAAGCCCAGTCTGGTTCAAATTCATGAGCCCGGTGTTAAGTTGGAGGCTTTGCCTGACTCAAATAGCTGTCAGGGCTGATGAACTAGGAAACAGGAAGATTGGCTGGCGGATGGAGAAGTGGATGTGCCCAAGATCAATAGGTCAAATGTTAGGCTCTGATGGCTCCCAGGATTGGCAGGCAATATGGCAGTTCAATGAGCCAGATACAGGATCAGGATCAGCAAGAGAGAAAAAGCCCTCAACAGTCTACTTATATAGGCCTAGGCCACATCCCAGAGAAAATTACTTCACTTGCTTCCCACCCAAATCTTCTTACAACTGCTTGGCTGCTCACAGTAGCCACATGTAATCATCATGAGGTTGATTACACTGTGTTAGGTCACATTGTGGAGGGTTACCAGACCCTAACTGCCAAGTCAGATCCCTGGTGGCATTGTGCCTTACACATTGGGCTGCTAACTACAAGGTCAATTGTTTGAAACCACCAGCTGCTCCACAGGAGAACGATGAGACTTTTCACCCCATTAAAGACCTACAGTCTCAGAAACCCACAAGGCACTTTTACTGTGTCCTATAGGCTCATTATGAGTCAGAATTGACTCAATAGCAGTGAGAACTGCCAAGCGAATGAAGGCCTGGACTGTGCCAAGTGGACACAGAACCTAACCATCACAGTGGCACAGGGCTGGGCAGGGCTTTGTTCTGTTACACATGAGTGAGAAATGAGATGATGCTATGCATTAGAATTGAGTTGAACACAGTGGGTTTCCAATACTATCGCCAAGACTGAAATAGGACAGGGAATATGGAATTCATCTGGTGACTTTCCCTCAGTTCTTTTGAGATTGTAGACGTCCTACATCCTGGCATAAAGCCATGGCCTCCAAGGCTTCCATCTGGGTAATGCTAGTGAACCTTTTCCTACTCACGTTGTACAGGGACAGGGTTTGGCATGTTCATGCTGGCACGAGCCCCAGGAACCAACAGGAATTCCATTAATACATTCCTTTCTATTTGACACGTCCCCTGAAACGATCATCTCCGCCTTTGAAGGCAGGATTCACTCACGGGCTTGTCGTTAAGGTCAATAGAACAGGTCATAAGAAAATAGTCATTTTTCCTTTTCTCTGCTGTTTTGAGTTCATTTCCCATTTCTACACCCTCTTATTGATGATAGCTGTGTTTATATTTTAAGGCTTACTCTTTTGCAGTCTGATTTTTCCATCAGTTTGGTTCCTGCAGTGAAGTCCCGACCTCGTGTTTGTTTGTCTTCTCACAGTTTGTTGCTATGGAAATAATTACAAGATGGCACATTTCAATGCCAACTTTAAAACACCCTGCAAGAGATGGAAAGTTGACAGGATACAAATATGCTCTGAGCTGAACACATCTCTGATTATTGTCAAAAGCACCGTAGAAGGAAACTGCAGAGTTACACGCAATCCATTAATGAATAAGTAGATGTCAAATGACTTCCCAAGACAGGAGTTGTGTTCTCTAAGGAAAGGGAACATAATAGAAACTCAGGAGTGTTCCTCCCAGCAGGATGAACCCCTGTGGTTTAAAAATGGAAAAAAATGTTTTGTGCTAAAGAAATACGGTGCTTCAGGGACCCTATTAGAAGCTTAAGTTGGTTCTGGAGGCAGATAACTTGCTTCTTTGGCCTCCTTGGCACAATTGTGGACACATTTGACATCCTGGGGAAATGTCCTCATCTATAATTTTTGTTCCATGGTTTCCTAGGGGAGATGAGGCCCAGAGTTAGGTATTTTCTATTGTTCGTAGGTACAAGCAAAGAGACATGATACAGAGTGAATGGAGAAAGGCTTGTGCTCTTCATTTTTAATAAGGAAAACTGCTGCACCCTCAAGTTCCATATAATTTGGAGGACTGTGACATTTTGGTCCTGGTTCATGCCATCTGGCTCCCTAAAGTGAAATTGTCATCTTACCTTCATTTTACCCAGAGAGCAAGAGGCCTTATCAAGACCAATCCATCTCAAACTAGATATATGCCTAAGTTTCTCTTTTTGTGTTTTAACTTTCAGATAAAAATCTATACCCTGGAGGAGGACAATGTTGTATCTGTTTGGGTTGAAAAGCATGTGGAAAGACCAGCACACTGGGCATATCGTCACTTGTCTGACTTTACCAAACGACCTCTGTGGGACCCGCATTACACGTAAGAGTCAAGTTCAATTTCCGTAGTAAGTCAACCCTGATCTCATGCATTACCTGCAGTTCTTCTCCATTTCTCAATGCAAAACCCATAGTTTTGTTGCCTAAGAAGAGTTTTTGAACTTGTGTGAACTCGGTGAAGATTTACAAAGCAGATCATAGTTTTACATCCAACAGTTCTTACACATTTTGTTTCAACTCAGCTGTACAATCCTCTTGGGGAATCACCGCTTGCTCCACTCTCCCTGCGTCTTACTTCCTCTCCTCCATTCCGGCCCGCGGAACTTTGTCCTTTGGTAAATTCCAACACGGAGGGAGTTAAGGGTCTCATTTTTAGGAGGCCTTAACCATCTATTTTTTTTCATCTTTTTGGTATGGTTTTTACTATGCTTGACAGTGTTTTATGCCAGGTATTAGGGCCCCTAAATCTGTCCCTATTTTTTCATTGATGGCATTCTATTTACAGGTTTCACATATAGGTCTTTGATCCATTGTGAGTTCATTTGTGTATATGGTGTGAGATATGGGTCCATATTTTATTCGTTTGCAAATGGACATCCAATTTTGCCAGCATCATTTGTTAAGGAGAATTCTGCCATTTCTCAAAGTCTGTCTCTAGGTGGGTAGATTTACTTCGGGATGCCTGGCTGTTGCATTGGTGTAGGGATCTGGTGTTGTACCAGTACCAGGCCATTTTTATTATTGTGGCCGACTGAATAGTGGGTTTTGAGATCAAACAGTAAGAGCCCTCCTATTTTGTGTTTTCTTCTAGTGCTTTGTTGATCAGGGTCTCTGTCCATATAAAGTTGGCGATTAGTTTTCCATCTCTTCAAGGAAAAATGTTAGAATCTGATCACAATGACTCCATATCTGTAGATCACTGTGCATAACACTGACATTTTCACAATGCTAAGTCTTCCTATTCATCATTATGGCATATTCTTCCATGTATGTAGGGTTTTACTTTTGTAGTAATTTTTACTTTTGTAGTAATGGCTTATAGTTTTCTTTGTATATCTATTATTTACTTTTTTGTATATAGATATACTTTGTATATCTATTATTTACATTTTTACTTTTGTAGTAATGGCTTATAGTTTTCTTTGTATATCTATTATTTAAACTTATGCATCAAACACTAAAGCTAGTGATGAAGAACCTGCAGATTACTACCATATTTTTCAGTCTTATATTGACTACATATGAATCAAGATGCATGGATAATTATGGGCAATGAGAATATGAAAATTGGAAATAAAAATAAAGGATCGGTGGTAGGAAAATATGACCTTTGTGTTAGAAATGAAACTGGAAATTGAATGATAGAGGTGAAAAAATAAGAGAAAGAAGAAAAGGAAAACAAAATCATTGAGAAGAAGGAAATCAAAGAAAGAAAAAAAGCATAAAACAACAAAAGAAAAAAACAAGGAAAGAGAAAACTGAAGAAGGGACAAACCCAGAGAGGAGAAATCGATGGAAGGGTGGGGTACCCGGTATGGATGGGCACCCTCTGCCAGCCAAGGAGCTCATAGATTAGGAAGTGGTGAGAAGCCCATCTAAGATGGAGTTCCTGATCCAAGGAGCCCAGGTGGTATAGTGACTACGTGTTGGGCTGCAATCCGCATAGTCAGCAGTTCAAAATCACTAGCAGATTCAAGGGAGAGAGACTGGACTTCTTCCATAAACAGTTACAGTCTCAGAAACCCACAAGGAGTCTCTATGAGTCAGCATTTGGGCAATGGCAGAGCGAGAGAGAAGATTGATTTTATCTAGGGAGCCCTGGGGGCATAGTGGTTACTCATTGAGTTGTTAAACACAAGATCAAAACCAGCAACCCCTCTGAGGGAGAATGATGAGGTTTTCTAATCCCATAAATAGTGACAGTCTCAGAAACCTACACGAGCAGTTCTACCCTGTCCTACAGGGTCATTATGAGTTGGCATCAACCGCATGGCAGTGAGTTGAGTAGAATTGAGTTGTTACCTGGCAGGAGCCCTAGTGGCATTACCAATTGGCCTGTTTTCTGCCAGATCTGCAGATGGAAAGCACCAGATGCTTTTGTGAAAGAGCAGCAAGGCTTTCTAACATAACGATGTGCAGCCTCGGAGTCCCAAAGTGGCAACTCTAGTGTGTCCTGTTGGGTGAGTATGAGTCCTAATTAATGAGACACCAGTGAGGTGTTTTGTTTTGAGTTATTATCTGGGGTCTGGGACCCCATGCAGGCTCAGATGGTGGCTGAAGTCAGGGTGCTTCTCCCAGAAGAGGAAATCTTTCCAGCCCAGGGGTCAGCAGGTGGGCGATTACAGAAGGAATTCTTGTCCACCCTGGGTGGGAGACACCAGGGGCTTGTCCAGCAATGTGCTTCTTCTGCTCTTCTGAGGAGACAGAGCTTACACACCTCCAGACACCCAGGTGGTACACCAAGAGCCAGTCCACACATCCACAATAGGCTCTGACCTCAGACAGGCAGGGGCTGTGCACACAAGTGGAGCTGGTCACTGGATGGGTGAGGGTGGGGGCTGGCGACTCCCCTGGTCACCAGGAAGATATGGGGAATGAGGGAGGATCCCCCCTCCCCCTCCCGTCATTAACCACTGATGTGAGCCCTTGTTCTGGTCTTGAACAAGTAGGGCAAATTATAGCTGAGTTGCAATAGGTCAGCTGCTAATTCACTCACCTGTCTCCTCTCTGGCCATGTTTGCTCAGCTGCTTCTTCTAGTCAGTATTCAACCCACTTCTCTCTCTCTTCCTCTGGAGCTCAGGGTTTCAGGTTTATCATTAGTATTTGTTTCATCTGGTCGCTCATATCTTTGTTGGTGGGGGTCTGTGTAGTGTATCTACTTATCCACACTCTTTCAAGAATATATATTTTTTAAGTTGTTTGCAAAGAGTAATGCATCAGGTACTATTGAGAGATATAAAACAAGGAACCTTATAAACAATTTCTCCATCACTGGCTGTGTTTGGTGCATACATTTAAATAATACTGGTCTTCCTTATAGACATAAAGCTGTTATCATAACACAGATAGACCTTGAAATATTCTTTTTGGTGATGGATGTGATGCTATTCTTCTCGAATTTGTCCTTAAAAATCCTTCAATATTCCATCTTAAGATATGATTTTTTTCCTTCAGTTCTTTTAGCTTAAAGAATGCCAAGCATGCCTTTTACTTTGCTTTCCTAACTCCAGGTCATTGTACATTCCTTTAAAATACTTCACTTTGCCTTCTCAAGCTTCTTTGAAAACTTCTGCTTAGCTATTTTACTTCATTAATTTTTCCTCCTTGCCTTAGTTATTGTACATTCAGGAACAATTTCCAGAGTCTCTTTTTGCATCCATTTGGGTCTTCCTGACTTCTAATGGCCTTGTTGTGATTCTGCAACTCATTTAAATTCCGAGCAATAGTGATCAATGTGTATCAAATTTATTTTTGAAGTGGCTTCTACATTCAGGTGGGAAATGTTCAAGGTTGTACTTTGGGCTCTCTTGGGCTTGTTTCAATTTTCCTCAGCTCAACCTAAACAAATATGAGCAAGCGATGGTCTTTTTTCATTGTCATCCCCTGGCCTTGTTTTGACTGTTGATATCGAAGTTCTTTATGGTATGTTTTCACCACTTCACCATTTCAGGAGTTGGCATATGAGCAAGAACCAATGGTGCTGAAGGAAGACGTTCAAGTTGCACTGAAAGTATTAGCCAAAAACAGGGTTCCAGAACTTGATGGTATACCTACTTGTGGGGTACCAGCCTCCACAATCAAATGGGCCCAAGGGTTGATTTTGTAATTAAAGGGTAAAATTAAAGAGACACCAGACAAGATAAAGCATGGGAGTGCTCACCTCTGGGACCAGCATGACCTCAAGGGCCAGATCTGCACAGAGAGAGAATGTATTTCCAACCAAGGCTTATATACATTCAGGTGTGTGCAAGCCCCCCTAATTTTTTGTTTTGTTTTGTTTTTAAATCATTTTATTAAGGGCTCGTACAACTCTTATCACAACCATAAAGACATCCATTGTATCAAGCACTTTTGTACATTTGTTTCCCTCATCATTCTCAAAACATTTGCTTTCTACTTGAGCCCTTGGTATCAGCTCCTAATTTTCCCCCTCCATCGCTGCTCACCCCTCCCCCAGGAACCCTTGATAATTTATAAATTATTATTATTTTGTCATATCTTACACCCTCCAATATCACCCTTCACCCACTTCTCTGCTGTCCGTCCCCCAGGGAGGAGGTTATATGTAGATCCTTGCAAAATGTTCCCCCTTTCTCCCTCGCCTTCCCTCCACCCTCCCAGTATCGCCACTTTCACCACTGGTCCCAAGGGGTTCATCTGTCCTGGGTTCCCTGTGTTTCCAGTTTGTATCTGTATCAGCGTACATCCCCTGGTCTAGCTTCTTCCATGTGGACTTTGTTGCCTCTCAGCTAGATGGCTGCCGGTTTATCTTCATGCCTTTAAGACCCCAGATGCTATATCTTTTGATAGCCAGGCACCATCAGCTTTCTTCACCACATTTGCTTATGCACTAGCTTTACCTTCTGCGGTTGAGTTGGGACAGACTGGTGTGCTTCTTCCATGTGAGTTATGTTGTTTCTCAGCTAGATGGCCACTTGTTTATCTTCAGGTCATTAAGACCCCAGACGCTATATCTTTTGATAGCCGGGCACCATCAGCTTTCTTCACCACATTTGCATATGCACCCATTGTCTTCAGCAATCCTTCCAGGAAGGTGAGCATCTCAGACTGCCAAATTGTTAGATCAAAGTGTTCTTGTGTTGAGGGAGTACTTGAGTAAGAAGCCCCCCTAATTACAGGTGACCACATACATAACAAATGTACTTTAACTCTAAAAGTCCCTGAGTACATAGGAGGAGTAACCTAACACTGGTGCCTGGGGCAGGTAAGAGGGAGTGGCTGTCCTCTGAGCCTAGAGAGCAATACACATGTCAGCTCCTATAGTTAACGCTGCCAGCTACATAACAATCAGCCATGTGCTTCTACGAGGTAACTTTAAAGTAGCACTATTATGGGAGGGTGGGGGGGGCGAGGACAATATTAATTATGAGAATGTGATTGGGACTCACTCCAACTCACAGGGGTGAAGGCCTCCCTCCACCCCAGCTGCTAGGCTTCTTAATATATGAGACTAAAGGGTTCATCAGTATACACTCTCTTCCCATTCTCTGGTTCCCACACCCACTGAAGTGTTTCAACAAACTAATGAAGCACTGAAAGAATTCACTTATCTGTGTCAGGAAATTTGGAAGAGATCTACTTGACCAACTGACAGCAAGATATCTGTATTTTTATGCATTCCAAAGGAAGGTTACTCGAGATAATGCAAAAATTATAGAACAATATCATTGATGTCATATGCACGTAAAATATTGCTAAAGATCATCCAACAGTGGTTGCAACAATACATTAACAGGGAGGTGCCGGAGGCTCAGCCTAGATTCAGAAGAGGACATGAAATAGGAGACATCATTGCTAATGTCAGATGGATCTTGGCTAAAAGCAGAGGCTTCCAGAAGGATATTTACTTGTGTTTTATTGATATGTCAAGGCATTGGACTGAGTGGATCCTAATAAACTACGGCTAGCTTTGAAAAACATGGGAATTCCAGAACACTTCATTGTGCTCATGCAGAACTTGTAAATGGATCAAGAAGTAGTTATGGGAACAAAACAAGGGGGCATTGCCTGGTTTAAAATCAAGAAAGGTGTGTGTCAGGGTTGTATTCTCTCGCCCTACTTCTTCAATAAGTATGTTAAAAAATAATCAGAGAAGCTGGATTATGTGAAGAAGAAAGCAGAATCAGAATTGGAGGAAGTCTTATTAACAAGCTACAATATGTAGATGACACAACCTTGCTTGCTGAAAGTGAAGAGGGATTGAAGAACTTGCTGATGAAGATTAAAGATTGCAACCCTCCGTATGGATTACAACTCAATAGACCAAAAACCTCACAACTGGACCAGGAGGTAACATCATACTAATGGAGTAAAGACTGAAGTTGTCAAGGATTTTGTCTTGCTTGTATCCACAATCAATGCTCATGGGAACATCAGTCAAGAGATCAAACTATGTGTTGCATTGTTCAAATCTGCTGCATCAGACCTCTTTAGAGTGTTGAAAAGCAAGGAGATTACTTTGAGGACTAGGTGGCTCTGACCTAAGCCATGGTATTTTCCATTGCCTACTATGCATTTGAAGGCTGGAATTGAATAAAGAAGAACAAAGGGGAATGGATGCATTTGAATTGTGGTGCTGTGAAGAATACTGAAAGCACCATGGACTGCTACAAGGAAAACCCAATCTGTCTCGGAGGAAGTAAGGCTACAGTGCTCCTTAGAGTCAGGAAGGCAGGACTTCATCTTAGATACTTTGAACATGTTGTCAGGAGAGACCAGGTCCTGGAGAAGGGCATCATGTTTGGTAAAGTGCAGGGGCAACGGAAAAGAGAAAGCCCCTCAGAGAGATGAACTGACGCAGTGGCTGAAACAACAGGCTCAAGCACAGGAACAATTCTGAGGATGGCATGGGACTGGTCCTGTTTCGTTTTGTTGTACGTAAGGTTGCTGTGGCTCAGAACCAACTTGATTATATCTAACAACAACCTGGTATTTTTCCACTGATATAATCAATTTGTTCCTGTGTAATCCATTTGCCAAGGTGCATCAGTAAACCAACCATTCGTGTTATTGGAAATGGTATTTGTAATAAATAAGTCACGACCAGGCAAAATTCTTTCCCACCGTTTCTGACATTGTTTCTATTATCAAGGTCTTATGTTGCTGCTACTGATACCTTTTACTTGCTTTCCAGCCTCCACACAGTCACCTGCAATTATAACTGTACCTGGATTCCATGGTTGGTCAATTTTAGACGGAAGAAGTTAGTAGAATTCTGTGGCTTTAGCGGTGCATCTTCGGTGCTTAAATTGAAAAAAGTAATATTAACTGTCCTTCCTTGTAAGCATGTTAATATTATCCTATTACTGCCAGTGTGGTAGTTGAGGGTAGATCTTGAAAGGCTCTTTTTGGTGATTCATCCATCACATTCCTCTTCAATTAGTTATTTTTGGCATGAAGACCATATGTTTGTCCAATTCAATATGATCATACCAGTCCATTTCAGCTCAGTAAAGCCTAGTTTATTAATGTTTATATGTTCTATTTCCTTTTTGAAAGCTTCAGTTTTCCTAGATTCATATTTCCTACACTCTATATTCCAATTACTAATAGGCTTTGTAGCCGTTTTTTCCCACATGCCACATCAGCAATGACTACTCCATCCACATCATTAAGATCAACTCATATTTAAGGAGGCAGCTCTTCCTCGGCCGTGGGGGCTCATCTCTGGCACTAATCAGACAATGTTCCACTACTATTCATAAGATTCCCAGTCGTCCTATGGGGGGATAGATCACCTAGTTTGTCGGTCTTGAAGTTCTGCTAAAATAGATCCACTATTGTTCCCCTGCTGGAATTTGAAACCCTGGTGCTGCAGCTCCTAATACCACAGCAACACAACAGATGGACCAGTAGCGCCCTCTGTGATTAATACCATCTGATAGATGTCAAACATCTGTGGTGTCAGGTGTCACGTTTGCCAGAATGATCCATCATGGTTAGTGTTCTCATTTGAAAACACTCTGAGAAAGAGAGAAAACTTACATTTTGTGAAACAATGTCTGTAGTTGCTTTATAAATACACATTTTTTAAGAACAATGACTAAACTTTGGTGTTAGTGTTTTTTGAGTGTTTCACTACTCTCTGTGTAACCTGACATTCCAGTCAAATGAACTTGAATGAATGGATAAAGGAGTGACTTCTAACGCTACTCTTTTATAAACCTTTGATGATTCAGCTACTATGGTAACAGACACTATCCCGTAACACCCCAATCACCAAGTACAATATGTTTTATTATCTACGTTTATAGATTAAAAAATAAAGCTAAGGTAACACAGCTCTTAAATGGCAATCTGGAACTAAAGGCAAATTGTTTCTTCCCAATTTAGTGCTGTTTCTCATATAACACGTTTTTTTTCTTTTTACTTAATAGTCCTCTGTGGACTGTCCAGATAATTCACTAGTTAATTTTTTTCCACTTGATCTTAAGAAAAATAATTAAATAGAAAATAGATAACTGCATTTCTCTGAAATATTCAGAACAATGGAATTAAAGTCATCTAGCCACCATTCTCTGTCGCATGCAGATTTACTCCTTCCCACACTGTTACTCTAAAGACCGATTTTGAGCAATGAAACTGAATTTGAATGGGTGGTTAGGCAAGGTGATGGAGTAAATGTAAAAACTAACACTGAAATTCTGCGAACAAACAAATGTCATAAGGCTGTTTTTAAAAGAGAGAGAGAGAAATGTTTTATTAAAGCAAATAGAAAAGTACAATCTGTTTTCTTCCCTTTCACTGTTCTATTTACATAGCTCCTGTGACATAATAGATTGGGTGAATGAAGATGATCAGATATACTACATTACCTGCCCTGTAATGAACGGTGATAAACCCAGAGACTTGCTATTACTTGTATCCCGGAGAAAGCCTCTCAGAGACAAGTGAGTATTTTCAGTTCAACATAAAATAGAAATCAAAAGCTGATGCAACCATCAGAAAGTCAATATGGGCATTTCTGGTCTTGAGTGGTCTTTATTTGATTTTTTCCTAGATGGCACTTTAGCCATTATTACAATAATAATAATAATAATATAATTATAATATACCAAAATAGCAATAATAACAATTATTATTCTTATTATTACCTAATTGCGTGCAACCTATGGGAGATGCACCATGTAAGTTTTTGGAAGTGATTCTCTTTCCTCTTGCTCTATGTGAACGCAAAATTGATATTCAGAAGCTCTTTAGAACATTATTGGTTGAACTAAATTTTAAACCAAATAACACAACACTAATTGTCTTATAATCCACAGAAGTGATGTTTCCTACCTGGGTATGTGGATTGAATTGTGTCACCTGAAAATACATGTGGCAAGCCTAGCCCCAGTTCCTGTGAATGAGATCTCATTTCAGAAGTTGACCTTTGTGGATATAATCAAATTAAGAAGAGGGCACACTGGATTAGGGTGGTCCTAAACCAATATGACTGTTAGCTATGTGGCGGAAGGTGTCATGTGGAGCCAGAAGCAGAGGTTGGAGTGACATCTACAAGCCCAGGCTTGTCAAAGATGCCAGTAACTACCAGTGATAGGAGGAGTTTGATGGCATAGTGGTTGCACAGCAGGCTGCTAACCTCAGGGTCAGCTGTTTGAAACCACCAGCCCCTCCTGGGGAGAAGGACGGGGCTTTCTACTTCCTTTTCAGAAACTCGCAGGGGCAGTTCTACCCTATCCCATTGGGTCATTGAGTCGGCACTGACTTGGTGGCTGCGAGAGCAGCGACAGAAAGAACCTTGAGAGGGCTTATCTCCTCCAACAACCTGACCTGGGACATCTAGACCCGAAAAAGGACGCCCGGGGGCATAGTGGGTTACTGCTCGGACTGCGAACTGCAAGGTCAGGAATGTGAACTCACGCTAAAGAGAAGGCTTCCTCCTCCCTTGAAGATTTACAGCCTAGGAAACCCACAGCGACCGACCGACAGTTCTAATCTGCCCTGTGGGGTCCGAATAAGTCCGAATGGATGGCAGTGAGTTTCTTTTGCTTGGGAGACTTTAGAACTGTGAGCGAACAAGTTTCTGTTTGTAGTCATTCGTTAAATCAGCCCGAGGTAACCTAGTCACCTTACCAACACGATCATTTTTTTCAAAGATCGATCCAAATGTAAACAAAGTAGTGAAGGACAGCAAAGCCAAGACTTTGGCGAAAACGGAAGCCTCTTGGCTGATTCCAAAGAAGGTAGCTGAAATATAAGAAGCTACGCAGAGTTTTTAACAGACATGTGGGGACAGGTAGGATGGGTAACCCTCCATTCATGGGGTTTAGACCCATCTGGACTACTTCCGAGGAGTGAGACTGAGCTGCAATTAGACTGGCTCTCCCAGGTTCCCAGGGATTGACACCCATTTCTCCCCATTCACTGAGATGAAGATGATCGTGGATAAGTAGTTTCAGAGTTGCATGCCAGAAGCAAAAGTAAATCATCTCTAAAATAGGCCACTTCTCCCACAGATTCTGGGAACAGGAGTGGGAATAGTTATAGCAGAAGGGTAGGGGGAAGAGGGGGAGAGGAAGGGAGAAAGGGGGAACCAATCACAATGATCGGTACATTACCATACAGCCCTCTTCAGGGGGAAGAACAACAGAAAACATGGACGAAGGGAGACAGCGTTCGGTGTGAAATATGAAAATAATAATAATGTTCAATCAATCAAGGGGTTATGGGGGGAGGGAGGGGGGAAAAAGAAGAGCTGACACCAAGGTCTCAATAGAAAGTAAATGTCTAGAAAAGAATGAAGGCAGCATATGTACACATTCGCCCGGTGCAAGTGATGTATGGACTGTGACAAGAGTTTTAAGAATCCCAAACCAATTTTTTAAAATAAAATAGGCCACTTCCTACCTCAAATTATTTTGCTAATTACATGCCAGGAAGAAGCCCTGATGGAACTGTAGGTTAAGCTATGCACAAGGTCAGCAGTTCAAACCCATCAACTGCTCTACAGGAGAAAGATGTCTACTCCCATAAAGATTTATATTCTCAGAAACTCTATATAAGATCATTATCAGTCATGTGCCAGAATGGTAACAACGGCCAACACACACTTGGTGCCTCGAATGTTAGACTTGTTTCTGGGTGTATTTTATCTGCGAATTAAAAAAAAATGGTCCCAGTTTTCCCCTATCAACTCAAGTTTTTGAGAAACAGAACATATGTCACTTACCACTCCTCACTCTGCGCGCACATACAACATCAGGTTGTCTTAATGTAGTGGGAGCTAACCTGAGACACAGGGAGTTCACGCTGGCTTTATTAAGCAGTTTGTGTTGTAATAAAGATTTAGATTAAGTGATACTTCCTGGTGTTCTCGAATCCAAAGATATCTTTATATTTTTGTTTAAACAGTGCAAATTACACGAACTTGGAATGTTCCTCAAATATCACTTCACTTTTATTAAGAACTAAAGAGCGAGCAGTTCTTTTTTTTTTTCTTAAAAAGAGGACAAACATAAGAGTTATTGTACAATAAATAGGGAAGAAAATAAGGTATTTTACTCCCTGAAGTAGTTAGAGTTTCAGAAACCCTCAAGGGCAAAGGGCAGTTATACCATGTCCTACAGTGTTACTGTGAGTCGGAATCAACTCAATGGCAGTGAGGTTTTTGAGTAAAATAAATAAGAAATCCTGATGGTGTGATGGGTTATGTGTTTGGCTGCTAGCCACAAGATCAGCTGTGTGAACCCACCAGTCACTCTGCAAGGGAATAGCGAGACTGTCTGCCCCGCCGCAGAAGTTTGCTCTGTCCTCAAGGTTTACTTAATTGACTACTTGGTAGTGAGTCTGATATAATAAAATGAGGTGCAAAGCCAGAACAAAACTTGGGAAGAGTGGAAAATAAACAAGAAAATGGAAAAGGTACATATACGGAAGGTGTCAGGGAAGTGTCTAAAAGTAAGACTACATAACAATTTTCATAAATATTTTGAAGATTGAAACTTGTCTTATTCAATTTATGCAGTAAAAATTCAGAACACATGTTAATACGTAGAGGTCAGTGGATAATTCATGTTACCTGTTTCAGAGGTGAAGTTAACATCAAGCTTCTTATAAGAGCTCTAACCTTTCTTCAAGAGTTTCTGTGCACAGTTAGAGAAGATGTGTCATCTAATAACTAGACCGACACATTCTGATTTTAATAAAGGAGTTTGAATGCTGACAGTCACATTTTGCATTTCAGAACATTTGAATAACCTTCCAGTAAATGATGCTAGATCCCTACCCTACTATAGGATACAGTACATCCTTAAAAAACAATGAGGCAGCTATAGATGTTCTGATATAAAATGCCTCCGGGATTTATTGTTCGGAGAAAGATCAAACAGTAGACGTGATCGAATTTATATCTGGAGGGATCGATACAGAAATAGGTTAAGCGTGGCCAGTTCTGTAGGGGGGAGTAGGATTGGGGCTACCCTGGATGCAAGAAGACTGTGGTTTTCTAGTCCATAGGCTTCTATATTGTTTGAGGACGTTTGTTTTAACAATGGGTACTATTTTCCAAAGTAAACAAACAAACAAAACCACTGCCAGAGAGTTAATTCTGATCTACAGCAACCCTGTGTGCAGTATATCATAGTGCTCCCGAGGCTGCAAGTCTTCATGTGAGCAGCCAGGCTCACCGTTCCCCTGTGCGCAGCAGGTGACCTAGTGGTTGCCAGTTCCTTGCTCACCCAGACAACGCCTCACAAAAAAAAGTAGGTGGCTGATATTCCAGTGCTTTCAAGCACAATCATACTTTATTTTAGAGATTGACTCCTTCTGTGTGGAGTTAGCCAAAGTATATGTAGTAGTTCTTAATCAGAAAATTCCTGTGGCCCTTACTACGCTGGGTCCTATGTTGAATGTAGCTCCCTAGGGACAATGTTTTCTAGAACAGATCTGGGTCTTCACCGCGCCACTTCTCCTGGATGCATGAATTGCATTCATGTTAGTATTGTATTTCCCAACAAATCCTTGTGTCGGGCAAGAATTTAGAAAATGTCCCTTTAATCTTTCAGCACCACTTACACAGTAGCATTGAGATCGGTTCTTCTACCGTCAGTTCCACCTTCTCCGAACTATGTCAGAGGTGAAATCATATGTGCTGGGTTTCTGGTTCACCCGATTGACAGCAGTGCCTGCACGGTGAGTCTGGTGAGACAGCTGCAAACTAATTTGCCCTTACTGATGGAGAGAAAGCTCTTACTTTACCCTTATCTCCTAATTAGTTGTAAATCTGTGATATGTGTCTGCTCTTATGAGTGGGTGTTATGGAGGGAGGAGGGGGCTGGGGCATCCTAAAATCAACCGATGAAATGTATTCCAAAAGGTCCCCAGAGGATCAGGGCCATGGTCTCCCCTCGTCCCCATGAGATTCAGATCCTCGCTTGACAAAGCTCTGCACCAGTAAGACTGCCAATAAAAATAATTGTGTTTTCTTTCAAAAACAGGTATCTTACTTCCACCAGATGTCTTCTAGCACCCTTCCTTATTTTGCTGGAAATATCGGTGGCTGGTCCAAATCCATTGAAGAAACAGCAGCCTCTTGTATACGGTTCCTGGAGAGTGCTACTGATGATACTTTTATAAGCATACTTTAAATCCGATGTTTTCTTTGTTCATATCCCACGTTTAATTGCAAGCACACTTACCCCTGGCATAGGGCACTCTCAGTCAAAGCGAAATGCAGTAAGGAAGAGATTAAGAATCAAAATGCATCACAAGTTGAATACCAGGGATTTGAATGATCATTAAAAGCAATTTAAAAATATATATACTTTTAGATCATCTTTGCTTCGGCCTGTATTCAACTCTGTACGCTTGCTAAAATGGAGCTAACTTGATTCAGGTTTCACCAACATTTTTTAGGTCACAGGGTGTAATGTGTTCTTTTTGACGTTTTCATTTGATACAATCTGAGGTGCAGGTTTGCTGTCATTTGAGGAGCTGATTAATAGAACGGCATCGCTCCATGTGCCGCAGGTATCTGTATGCCAGGAGCATCTGACAAGATGTATTACACGTTTTAGAGCTTTAAACTAGGAAGATATTAAAACATAATGGAATCCAATCAATTTTCATAATAGGACCTACTTTACTAGTGTCATTTAACATATATTCAAGGTGGCTGACCAATTTAGTATCTATTGCTATATATACACACACAAAGTACCTGCAAAATGTGATAGTATAGAGAAAGACAGTACTAACAAAGCTCTTCTCTCATAGCCCATCCCATTAGGACTTCATTCCTTCGACTTCAACATTCATTATTCTAGTCCGTGATTTGACTTAACTCATAAGGCAAACCAGAATAGATCAAGTTAGCCTCCTCTGCTAAGAACCTTTTTGAAAGTTGAAGGACTTCTCCAGAAAAGTTTTGGTCACTTAAAAGGTTCGATACATCCTGCCTTTGGTTTGCCAACTCTCTACCTCCACCTCCTGCTACAACCACACACATAGTCTAGGTCTGCCTGTCACTGTTTTTGTTTTTCTATGTCAACAGGTTTTCATTTATATAAATCTTGGGCCGTGCTCCAATTTTATGAATAAATGTGTATAATATGAGCTGTGGATTTGTAGATTTAAATGATAACATACTACGTTCTAAACGTAGAAATAAGAGTTTTTGAGAATTTTTTAAGTGAAAAAAGAAGGCTTGAAAGTAAACAAGCGGCCATCTAGCTCAGAAGCAACAAAGCCCACATGGAAGAAGCACACCAGCCTGTGCGATCACGAGGTGTTGAAGGGATCAGGTATAAGGCATCATCAGAACAAAAAATCTTACCATAATGAATAAGGCGGGGAGTGCGGAGTGGAGACCCAAAGCCCATTTATAGGCCACTGGAGATCCCCTTGCAGAGGGGTCTCAGGGAGGAGATGAGCCAGATAGGGTACGATGTAGAAACAATGAAAAATACAACTTTCCTCTAGTTCCTAAATGCTTCCTCCCTTCCCTCTCCTCCCCTCCCCACTATCATGATCCGAATTCTACCTTGCAAGCCTGGCTAGACCAGAGGATGTACACTGGTACAGATAGGAACTGGAAAGCCAGGGAATCCAGGGTGGATGATCCCTTCAGGACCAGTGGTGTGAGTGGCGATACTGGGAGGGTAGAGGGAGAGTGGGTAGGAAAGAGGGAACTGATTACAAGGATCTATATGTGACCTCCTCCCTGGGGGACAGACAACAGAAAAGTGGGTGAAGGGAGACATCGGACAAGGCAAGATATGACAAAATAATAATTTGTAAATTATCAAGGGCTCATGAGGGAGGGGGAGGGGGAGGGAGGGGAAAAATGAGGACCTGATGCCGGGGGCTTAAGTGGAGAGCAAATGTTTTGAGAATGATGAGGGCAATGAATGTACAAATGTGCTTTACACATTGATGTATGTATGGATTGTGCTAAGAGTCGTATGAGCCCCTAATAAAACGATTCAAATTTTTTTTAAAAAGAAGGTAGTAAAGAAGTTACAGAACACGAAAATGTTGTATGTTGTATATTCAGACAACTGAGACATTTCCAAAAGCTGTCTGTCTAGCCTAGTCTAGGTCTTAGAATCCATATATTTTTAAGCCATTTCTGAAACATCACAGAAACAACCCAAAGTTGGAGGCATACAATACCTTTAGCTGGGTTTGTTTGCCCTCTCTAATCTATACCACAGGCCTGGATCATGTCCCGGTGGGTTATGCATTGGTTCACTTCTAAACCAGCTCCTTGGGAGAAAGATGAGGCTTTCGACTCCTATAAACAGCTACAGCCTGGGAAACCCACAGGGGCAATTTTGTTCTATCCTAGAGGGTCGCTGTGAGTCAAAATAGACTTGCCTGGCTGGAGTTCATGTGCTGTGCTGGTCCAACATGGCAGGCGCTTGTAATAGTCACATGGCAGGCATTTGTAATAGTCACATGGCAGGCACTTGTAATAGTCACATGGTAGCCCCTGGCCACATGTAAATGAAATGAAATTAAGTTCAATGAAATGTTTCAGTTCTCCAGCTACACTGCTATCCAATCCATTCTGGCTCATAGAAAGTCTGCAGGAGGAAAAGTCTCCTGGAGGGTTTCCAAGAGTGTAACTCTTCACAGGAGTAAAAAGCATCATCTTTCTCCCTCACAGCTGCTAGAGGTTTCGAACTGCTGACCTTATATTTAGAAGCCCAGAGCATTACTCACTATGGCACCATGCCTCAAACAATGGGTTCAAGTTTAACAATTAGGAGGATGGCCCAGGACTGGACAGTCTTTTGTTTTCTTATACATAGGTTCGCTATCAGTCAAAACCAACTTGATGGCACCTTACAACAACTCCTTTACCTAGTCCCATGTTCAATGCTCATTAGCCACATATGGCGAGTGATGGCCATATTGCACAGTGCAAATATAGAGCATTTCCACCATCACGGAAAATTCCAGTTGGTATTGCCGACTAATTCCTCTGGTTTCTGTCTTAGAATGCAGGCAGAACTACTGTTTCCCCATCCTCATCTGAGTTTGCTGGGATGTCTATGAATAAATAGTGACAGTGCTCTTCCACTTGGTTCTTTCTTGAACTAGAGGTCTGGCCTAGGTTATAAGAGTCTGTTTGAGAATTACTAGGCTTTAGAGACTTTGAAAGGGTATGGCAGAGAACAAGAGAAACATGTTTCAGCTTCATGGGGCAAAGGAAAAAACAAACAAATTCATGAACATCCAGTCAATGCTGACTCAAATGACCTCATGTGGGTTTCCAAGACTGTAACTGTTTATGGGAGTAGAAAACCCAGTCTTTCTCCTGAGAAGCTACTGGTGGCTTTGAACTGCCAACCCCGAGGATTGCAGCCCAATACAGGATCACTACACCAGTAGGGTTCCACAGCTTCACGGAGCGTGTTTAAGGAAAAAAAAATCTTGAATTTTTTGGTCAGAAACCTGCTATAATTGACTAAGACATTGCAGCAGTAATATTCCACAACAACTTTTATGCTTCCATTTCTTTTTTAATGGGACTACATCTGGTTATTCTTTCATTAAAAATATTAAAACACCTATTTGTTTTATTGTATTGATCACATCATGAATAAAATAGATAAATAATACTGATATGAATGGATACATATTATGCGGAAAAATAAAATACTGTAAAGGACATGACGAGTCCTGGGAAGATGGCAGAAGTGGTGTTGGTATTTTAAATAGCTTCAGGGAGTTGACAATTGGGCCAATATCCATAGGCAGAAAATGAGTGAGCCTTGAGGATCTCTGGGCGTGGTTGTAGGCTTCTCTCAGGGGGACTAGTCAGGCCAAAGACCCTTAGGTCAAAAACTCTGAGGTAGGAGTATGCCTGGTATATTCTAGAAAAAGCAGGGAAGCTGGAGGGGCTGGAATCAAGCGAGATGTAATAGAAGACAGTGGGAAGAGAGACAGCTGGCCCTGTCATCGTTGATACCTGGACTTGGAGCAAACGTGCTTGCTCCGAGGATAAGCAGTCAAACTGTTCATCAGCAGTTACCCTCAGCCATCTGAAGGCTTAAGACAGAGGAAACCTGTAAAATGTACAAGTGCTTATTTTTTTCCCTTTAGAATATCAAAGTATCCTTAAGGGACATTCAACATCTCATGCCTTTCTTGATGGTAAGCATTTTCAAGAGCTTCTAATGAGACTGAAAAGCTTTTGATTAAGAAAGAATGCTTGTTCCTATTCATTCTTTATGGGTTTAAGGCAACTAACTTGCTGATCTACATTCAGTTTTTCTAACATCTCCTTTTTGGGAAGGTACCTGTTCAAAAAATGTGAAAATTGATGAAGATATAATATATCCTTTCCTTGTACTCAGGTTTAGGAAATAAGGAACAATTTTAACAAAGCCTGATTTTTGTAGAAAATTTTAATAAGAAACCTAAGTATTTTGTATAGGTACCATCATATTTTTTATTGATCATCTCAGAGAAAACCTGGGATCATTTTATTGATATATGATAATTTTGAAAATTCATATGTAAAGACCTAGAGCCTTTATATATAGTAGTACAATGGGCTACATGTCTGGCTGCTAACTACAATATTAGCAGTTCAAAACTACCAACCGCTCATGGGAGAAAGATGAGGCTTTCTACTCCCATAAAGAGTGACAGTCTGCAGGGTGAACACTAAGCGTATACAGCGGAGCAGCAAGGGGAGCAAAGCAATGAAGTCCCCAAAGAATGCTAAAGGTGGACTTGGGGGCCAGGGCATGGCACCCCATCAGACTCAACTGGAAAACACTCATAAAGGTCAACAGACAGACCTGGAACTATTTGAAGGCTTTTCAGTTTTTGCTGTTGTTGTTTTTTCTTTATTTTTTTGTTTTGTTGTATTAGCTGTTGTTGATTTATTTTTGTCTTTTTTTGTTATGCTTTGCTATGCTTTGTTTTTGCCCATATTATTGTCTATGCATGTCTATCTGGACAACATAGGCGAAATGAACAATCCAGAGGAGAGAACAATGGGACTGAAGGTTGGGGGGGCACAGGAGAGGATGAGGTGGGGGAACGAAAGGGGGTGCCAACAAACCCAGGGACAAGGGAAAAACAAGTGATCTAAAATTGATGGCGAGAAGGGCATAGAATTTTGGGGGTGGGGCAGGAACTCAAGAATACCAAGGAAAGCATTATGATGAAATGTACAAAGACCTGGAATTAGAAAACCTAAAAGAAGAACAAGCTCAGCATATCTCATACTGAAAGAAATGAAGAAAAAGCTCAATCCTCAAGTTGAAATATTGAAGGAGTCTATGGGCAAACTATTGAATAGTGCAAGAAGTATCAAAAAAGGTGGAAGGAAGCAAAAGCAATCTATCTGAGAGGAATTACTAAGAGGCAGAACAAGGGCGGGTGTGATGGTGGAGCAGAGCAAAGTAAAAGGAAACAGAGGAAAGATCTAGGAAGTAAAGCTATGGATAGAGGTTCAAGCATAGGTTGCACTCATGTAAATATATTAATTCATAAAAATAGAGGTATTGGCCTATGCACATATATTTATATGGCAATACACTGAGATAGTGGATGGACTTTGGGCCTCTGCTCAAGCCCTCCCTCAACACAAGAACGCTTTGTTCTAACAAACTGGCATTCTGTGATGCTCACCCTCCCAACATGATCGCTGAAGACAAAGCGGGTGCATAACCAAATGTGGTGAAGAAAGCTGATGGTGCCCGGCTATCAAAAAATAGAGCATCTGGGGTTTTAAAGGCTTGAAGTTAAGCAAGCAGCTATCTAGCATAGAAGAAACAAGTCCACATGAAAGAGGCACACCAGCTTGTGTGTGATCATGAGGCATCAATGGAATAAGGTAACAGGCGCCAGAAGACCCCAAACAACAACAACAACAAAACATATTATTGAGAATGAGGTGGGTTGGAACGGAGACTAAAATCCATCAGTAGTCAATTGGGCACCCCTGTTAGAATGGCCACAAGAAAGAGAAGAGCCAGTCAGGGTTCAGTATAGCACCGATGAAACACACAACCATCCTCTGGTTCTTTAATGCTCCCCCCATCACTACCATGACCCCAATTCTATCTTACCAACCTGACTAGACCAGAACA